GTCAGGAAAGCAAAGCAGCTTTCACCTGGTTCCCCTCCCTGGTCACTTGTTCTTGAAGTTCTGAATCACCATCTCAGAATCCAATCTTAAGGGGCACCATTCTGTGAGGGAGCCCAGACTATACAAGGCTCTGATTATCAGCATCAGCTGCCTCCCAGCAACAACAGCCAGACATGAAGATAAAGTTGCCACCCAGTCTCAAGCGCAGCCCCCAGTCATTCTGCAACGGGGCGAGTCACACTATGGAACCCCTGACGATATGTCCTGACCAGATTCCCAGCCTATAGCATGTATGAGCATAATAAAATGACCGTTTGAAGCCCCTAAGTTTTGGAGTAATTCATTATATAATAGTAAACAGAACAAGCTTTATGTACTATTTATTTCTCTTTCCACTAAATTACATGGGCCATGGGAGCAGGGCTTCAATATCTTGTTCCTTTCTGTATCTACAGTGCCTTGCATACAGTAGGCACTTATTAACTAATAGTTGAGGGCTGGGGTATAGCTCAGTGGTGGAGCCCTTGCCTGGCATGCTGGAGCGCTCGGTCCCCGGCACTGCAATAATAATAGTTGACTATTCATAGTTGAGTAAGAGCAAGAAGCTGAATTGGGGGAAAAATAAGAATTACCTTAGGGCCAAGGATGTGGCTCAGTAGTAGAGCTTGTCTGTCATGCACAAGGCCCAGGGCTGGAGGGTGTCCATTCTATGCAGGGGGCAGGGACAGAAAACTGTCTTGCCTAGTTTCTGAGTGATTTTTTTTTTTCCAGCACATAGTTGTGTACCAGTGACAAGGAAGTCACCAGGGGCTAGGGACACTATGGGGTAGCTCTAGGATCCCGTGAAACCCTATCACACAAGCACAAGTTGTTCCCTTTCTTGCCTCCCAAAGTAGATCTGAAAAGCTGACGTTTCAAAACCTAGAAGGAGCCATGGCCAAATCCACTCAGCCCACATCTAATTGTCCCTCAGTGGGGGCTGTTTTTACATCCACAGCTCAGTCACTTGTGCACTTGAGGCCTCTCAGTGGGCAAGTGGATGATTCCAGACAGCAGCCATGTGGCAGAAAGGCTGCCACGGTCCTGCACATCTGGCCCCTTCCCGGGGGTGCCTCCCCTAACAGCTGTCCTCCTGCAGGCTGGCGCTCACCCCTGGCCAAGCAGAAGCCCAAGCTTTCAAGTGCTAAAAGTAATCCTGGCAGGGGTGCCGGGCGGAGGGAAGCCTGCGGGTCGCGCCTCCAGGTTTAACCACTTAATCCCCAAAGTACCTGCCAAGCACCAGTTAGCTTGTCTGGCTGGCGGGCCAGCCCTTCATTAATTCATTAAAGCAGACTCCTGCCGGGGCCATTATCTTCCTTGCCACTGACCACGTCTCCTCTGGGGCCACCGAGTCCCCCTTTCTCCTTTTCCCCAGGTCCCAAGGCAGGGTCTGCCTACTCCAGCCCCCTCTCCCAGGCAGATTCCTGGGCTCCATTCCCTCTCCCTTCCAGGGCTTCTCCCTCCCTCCCTCCCACACCAGCACACTAGAAAGCCTCTTTTGTTCTTCTCCCAATCTTTGACCAGTGACTGGTTAAATCATACCCGTCCTGCTCCCAGCCTCCCCAGCCTGGGAGGACACTCCCCAGGCACCCTCAGAAAGGGAATCTCACAAGTGCAGGAATTCACCATGTACCCCCCCACACTCCCAGCTATCTTCTCTTTCCTGGCAGCCCCCAAGTCCTGTGGTAGGGGGCAGGTAAGGGGTCCTGCGGTCCCCAAAGACAGAAATCCCAATTCCAGTTTTCAATCAGGTGGACGCTCTCTGTCTCAGGTTCCCGCTTGAAGTCAGTAGGACTTCAAGCCTCAATTCAAGCCAAGCCGTGAACTAAGAACCAGGCTCTGTACTGGACACTTTTTAATGAGTGTTCTTGCATCGGCCAAAAAAACCCTGGAAGAGCACAGCTCTAGTTTACAGAGGGATTCAATGAAGCAATAGCTCTTTCCCAAGGCCACACTGCCAGCAAGCAACTGGGCAATTCCTTTTTTTCATTTTTATTTATTTATTTTTAAAGCAAAACTAGGGATCAACCTCAGGGCCTCTCAGCAGGGGCTCTACCACTAAGTGACACCCCCAGCCCTGGCTGGACACTTTAGTCCATTTGCTTCTGGTCCCTAAACCCGTGCTTTAAACCATTTTACCATCCTAACCTGTCTGGCACCTATACAGGACAGGAGGAATGGTGTGGAATCCCCAGCAATGACAGTGGTTAAATGTCGACTACTTTGGGAAAGGAGCATGTGAAATGCAAAATGTACAGATGCTATTATTGTCCCCATTTTATGAATGGGAAAACTGAGTCTCTGAGATTTGTTTCTGTTTGTTGTTGTTTTTAATGATGGCTTCTGAGAACAGTGTCTCCGGCTCACAATAGAGTCCAGAACAGGTATGTCGGACCTACTGATTCTGCAAATAGCTAAACTCACCCTTAAACCCAAGAGAATTGGAAGTAGTGGTTCCTGCCCTCTGTGGCAGATACAAGACTCCCTGAGGCATCCAGGTAGGGTGTGATGTCCCAACCTCTCCACCAGTATAGGGAAAGTGGAGAGAGCACCCTACACTGAGCACAGAAGTCAACAAATGGTCTTTCTTCCATGAATTTCTTTTCACTTCTACCTAATATACTGGACCTGGGAAAAGACTGAAAAAATTCAGCCTCAGTACCAGGAAGGCCAGAGTTGCACTCAGCCTGAGGTCGGGATGTAGGTGGAAGGGAGAGACCTGGAACCCAAAAATGGGGGATTCCTGGACTCCGCCCCTGCAGGGGGTGATGTACAATCTACTGGTGTCTGAAGAGCGGGAGAGGGCAGCGCTGGAGGAAAGCCGGGTGGGTCACGGCACTATAGGCAGGAGAACCCTGCAGGGTGTGGCTCCTGCAGACGCTGCAGCGGGGCACAGCAGGTGCTAGGGCAATCCAGAGATGGGTGTAGGGAGGACGTGGCCCAGAGTCAGGAAACAGCACGCAACTAACTGGCACAGAAACAGAGTGAGGATGGTCAAGTAGACTCCACCGCTACACTTACCTGCCGACCCTCGTACAACGCTACTCACTAGCGAAACTCCTTGTCACCCCTCCCCTGCAGCGTGGGCCGCAGTTTTCCAACTTCTCCACCGCGTCTGGGCGCACGCGAGCGCACGGGGCTCGCCCCGCAGCCTTCTCTTGGGTGACACCCACACCCCAATACTCATGAACACCCGCGTAGGCACACGGTCAGGCCCTGGCCGGAGTCCCCTGCCTCCTGGGTGGGGCGCCCGACTGCCAGCACCACCTGGTCCCTGAAAGTGAGCGCTTCTGAGATCCCAACTGTAACCCAAGAACCAAAGCCCCTTCCCCATTTCTGTTAGTCTCCTCCCCTCCCATCTTTCCTTCTCCTTTTTCCAGTTGTGACTTTTTCTTCAGACAACGTCTTCTTTTCTCCAGGTTCCGAACCTTCCTTTTCCTGGTCTCCTTGCCTGTTGCTTTTTCTTTTGCAAAATTACATGATTTGGCCTTCAAATCTGTCGCTCGGTTCCCTTTTTCTATTCCCCCTGCATAGGATCCAAAATGTTGGTCTGGGCCCTGGGATTCCGCGGCCCCAGTCTGGCCCTTCTGGCCTGAGGGGAGGAAGGCGAGGGGAAAAGCGGATGGGAGCTCCGGCGCCCGGGAGCCGCGAGGAGAGCGCCCCAAAGCGCGCACTTCTCTTCGCCAGCGCCCGGGCTGCGCGGGCCCACGCGACATCTGTCGCCCGCGCTCCCGGCTCACACCCTGCGCACCCCCGCAGCTCCCCGGGCGTTGCCACCCCCCACGCTCCGGCTGCCGCCTCTCCCTGAGGGCGCAGACGCCCGAGCCTCGTCTGCGGGCGCCCCGCCAGCTTCCTAAGGTGTCTGTGCGCGATGGGGATCAGCCCAGACCACAGAGCTGTGCATCCGTGGGCCGGGCATCCGGTGCTGCTGGCCATCTCACCTTTAATCTTCACCTTCTGCCCCTTGGCTCAACTAGGCTGGCTCAGTCTGATTCTCTCCACCCCCATTCTCTGCAGCGTTCCTCCCAACTCCAGAGCCTGGAAAGACGATCCTGAACACTTCTGCCCCCACCTCCCACCCAGCCAAGCCCTAGCACAGTGCCAGGCGCACAGCTAGTGCTCAATAACTGCCCCCACCCCAAGGGCCTGGTACAATTCTCTAACACCAAGCACACTGGACACTCAGTACCCACTTCCACCCCTGGCCAGTGCCTAGATGCTCTCAAAACATCCCCACCCTGAACTGCAGAGTACCCAGAAGCTCAATAAATACTTTCTTATTAAAGCTACTTGGAGTTTCCCTAAGAACCTCATATTCCGTCCGACTTCCAGGGCCTCTCCTTATAGCAGCTACAACCGTCTGGTTACAGGTGGCCAAGCTCCTTAAATTGGACACCTCTCCAGAAAAGGAGCGACCACGTTAGCAGGGTGACGGAAAATTGCCAAGTGACACTTTCCAGGCACTGGAAAGGTGATTGAGAGTAGAAGTGATGGAGACAGGGCGACTTAGGAATGGCAGGGGACTCCGAAGAGGGCAGAGATGTTGGAAGGGGCCTGGAGACCTGTTTTGAAACCCCAATACATAATAACACTTGGCGTGGCTTGTAATCATGTTCTTACAGCAAGTGCACTTTAGACTCGCATCGTGTGTATACTTGTGGGGCTGGTGGGAATTCTGGAGGCTTAAGTCCTCCTAAGGCCACCGCGCTAGAAAGAGTGGCAAGGTGCACTTAAGACCAAGAGATAGGGACAGAAACGGTGGACCTTACTTGTATGGACGGATGGGGACTAGGTAGGAGAGGGTGACGAAGATCCTTGTAAGAGAGAGAAAAGAGCAGAGGAAGAAAAAAGAGGGTAAGAGAAGAAAGCCCAACTTGCCATTCTCCCGCTCCCGGGCCAGGCCCGCGTATGCAGTGCCCAGTTGCCGCGCCCTGGCTCTGCTTGCTCGGTCGCTAGCGTACCTGTTGCTCGATCCGGCTGGGTCTCGGCTCTGGCCCCACCAAGAAGCCCCGCGTTCCTACAAGTTCCGCCTGCCGAGCAGCCAGGCCGCCAGCGCCGCCACCTGCGCGGCCGCGCACAGCCAGGGCCAGTAGGTGGGGAGCGCGCCGGGCGCCGGCGCCCTCGGGCTCCGCGCGCGGCGCCGCCACATGGTGCGCTGGTGCAGCTCGTCGCCGAGCGCCTTGAGCCGGGCGGCGGTGAGCTGCGCGGCGGAGGAGCGCAGACCCAGGCGGCCCGCGCTGCAGGCGCACACGGCTGGGGGGCCGCGGCCGCGGTGCAGGGGGCACGGGCACATGACCGCTCGCCTCGCTCCCTCCCCGCGCTCGGGCCGCCCCTCGCCTCCTCTGCCTCCGGCCTCTGCGCCCGCCGCCGCCGCGCTCCAGCAGCCGGGGGCCTCCCCTGGACACCAAGTTTCTCCTTGTGTTGTGCGTTTGTTGTGCTGACGGCGCTATTATTAATTAAAGTGTCACATGGTGGAGGGGGGCGGGGAGGGCGCGGGGAGGGGGTTACATCATCCGGCCCCCGGGGGGGGGGGGCTGCAGGCAGAAGAAACCGAGAGGTAACTTTTAACCCTAGCCGCGCCGGCAGCAGCGAGAGGGCGCGCGATTCGCTAGGAGGAGCGCGGCGCGCTGGGGCAGGAGAAGGCGCCCTGCGGAGCGGGCCGGGGGGCTTTGGGGGTCTCGGGGACCCCCGCCGTGGCGAGGCACGTGAGAGGAGATTTTCTCCTTTTCCTTTTCCTGAATTCAGCTCCAGTTCCGATTTGGCGAGGGAAGCGGGCTTGTTTGCGGTTTGGGGATGAAGCTGACATCGAATTCGTCTGCATTATTCAAAAAATATTCCGGAGCTGTTGTTTTGTTTTGGGGAGGTGGGTGGATGCAAAAATCTTGTGAAAGGGCCATATTCTACCCAGTGTGCTTCGTTTCAGGTCTGACTTCGTCACCTGTACAGTTAGGGTTTGAAGACACCCAACACAAGTCCCCACCCCCCGGCTGAGCTTTAGCAGCCTGACCCTAAACGCGACCCTGGCGCGTGCCTAGAGCCCCTGATGGAGGCGAAGTGGCTGGGTGGCTGCGTGGAGAGTTCGGTCCTGAGCCCGGGTGCTACGCGTAGGCACCAGAAAGACCCTCACAAAGCGCTTTCTAGATGGAAACTTCTTTTTGCCTGCTTTCTTTGTGAATATTATTCTCCTGCCGGGGTTATAGCTCATGATGGCCATCCAGATTTAATGTACAGTGAAGCTGATTGACGCTGGTGGGGGAGGGGGCTGTGACGTGGGGAACTTTGGCCTCCCCATCCCCAGCTTTCCAATCCGAGGCTGCTCAATGTCCTGACAGTCTCGGGAAGTTTGGAGTTGTCTCTGATGGGGAAGGTGCAGATGGGCAATGCGAAATCCTTTAAGGGTCAAACAATGTGAAATCCTTTGAGGGTCAAACAACTAGAGAAGCCCAGAGGTAGTTCCCAGCCAGTGATCTGGGAACTGATGGGGGAAGTTTCAGTGCTCTCTTTCCCACTGGCAGTTCTGCCACTGCCTGATGGATTCTTTGATGCCTTGGAAAAGCTTCTTTAAGATGCTGAACTTAGTTTTGGTCTGTTTGTCATGAGGAGAGGAGAGATTATTCCCCCCTTGGCCTGCAGCATGATGCAATGACAGATTCAGGACTCAGATTCACCTGGGCTATCTGATTTCCGTGGCCTTGGCCTTCACTGAGGCCAGATCTCTGACCCTAATAACAGCCAACCCTTGTTGAATCCAGGCCCTGGCCTCTTCGCCTGCAAGAGTCTACATGAGTCTCCCAATGACTCTGTGTTGTTGGGGGAAGGGCACTCATATTTTCCTATTTTAAAGATGAAGCTACTGAGGCACAGGTAGGTAAGTCCTCTCACTCACGCTCGCAGAGTTAGTAAAAAGTGAAGCCTGGATCAACACTAGGGCGCTCTGCTGCAGGCGCTAAGCTCTTAACTGTGGTTTTATACTGCCCCCTGTAATCTGGGAATAATAATACTTCCCTCCAGGACTGGGGCAGAGACTAAATGAAAGAAATCTATGCCAAGCACCTGGCATGCAGTGGGCCCTGGATAAACCTTGGTTCCCTTTGCTTCTGGCCAGAACCACTTCTCCATCTCCTGGGACTCACCTCCTTAATCCTCCCCTTGTCTTTGCAGAGGGGCCCTGATCCATTGCCCGAGTGTAGCGTTCCAAGAATGAAGATACAGTGTCTATTTAAAAAGCCCTTTGGATTTAAATTGAACACCACCACCCCCCCCCCTTTTTTTAATCTGCACGCTTTTAACGGCTCACTTCATGGACATTAATTTTAATGGGACGATTATTACCCTGTTTGGAAGCCTGCCCCTCGAAATGCTGGGCTCACAAGGTGGCACTGGGTCCAGTCCCAGCAGCTTGCATGTTTTCTGTAGCAGAGGGAACACATGTGAATGTATCATTCACCAGAGGGAGAAGAGAAGGGGGTTATGGATAAGTGGAAGACAAGAGAAGACCATGTCCCAGACACACTAAAGCACACTAGAGTTGCCCTGCCCTCCCCCAGCACTTACTCACTGGGGAACCTGGCCTGGAGATGTGGCCTTTTGAAGACTCCATTTCCTTAATTGTAGAGTGGGAACAATAAGAATACCTAACTCAACAGGGTTAAATAAGATCATACTACTAACTCCTGAGAATGATGCCTAGCATATTGTTCACATTTCATAAAATTTTGGCTACTGTTCACATCTTAAAGTTGTTCATGGAGTCAGTGAGTGGCATACTTTGAAGAATGTTGGAGAACCGGCACCCTCATATCTACATGGTTTCCCTGTTCTGGATTGGTGACTCTCTGTTAAACACTGTCCACAGAAAGAAATTCTTTGGGAGAGTTAGATAACAATCCTAAAACTTTAGTCAAAATGAGTTTTAGCTAGTGTGCACAAGGCCCTGAGTTTGATCCCCAGCACTGCAAAAAAAAAAAAAAAAGGTTTTATTTTAATATTTAATAAACACTTATAGAATGCTTATTCTGTGCCAGGCATTATTAGGAATGCCTTGGACTTATTAACTCTTTCATCCTCCTTGTAAGTCGGTAAGATGGAGACTAACTGGAGTCCAACATGGAGACTGAACAAATCAAGACTGAGTTATTAAGTAAGTTTTCTAAGATTTCACGGCTCTCTGGCCCCAAAGTTGTGCTCTTTATTATTTGTCACCACTGGGGACTCCAGAAGAGAGACAGAGGCTGTTTGGGGCTACATGGTATCCCTCCCGGTACCCCCAAATTAATATATTGATATTCTGACCCTGGTATCTCAGAAGATGACTATATTATATTTGATGACAGAATCTTTTAAAAGGTAATTCAGATCAATGAAGTCATTGGGGTGGGCCCTAATCCATTAAGACAGATTATAGAAAGAGGAAATAAGGGGCCTGGGGTTGTGGCTCAGTGGTAGAGAGCTTGCCTAGCATGTGTGAGGCACTGAGTTCAATCCTGAGCACCACATAAAATAAATACATAAAATAAAGGTATTGTGTTCATCTACAACTTAAAAAGAAAAAAGAAATAAGGACACCAACACACAAAGAGGGAAGACAACGTGGGGACACAGAGGGAACAGGGCTATCTACAAGTCAGGAGAAGCGTGGAGTCGATCTTTCCCTCTCAACCCTCAGAAGAAATCAACCCTGCTGACTCTTTGATCTTGAACTTCCAGCCTCCAGAACGGTGAGAAAGTCAGTTCCTGTTATTTAAGCCACTCTGGTTGTGGTGCGTTGCTATGGCAACCCTGGAAAACCAATGCAGAGCGGGGCACTGCCCTAAGTGGGCAGCTGGAAGCTGACATGTCCCCCAACAGTGGCTGCGGGGACATTGGTTATGGGTTTTTGAGAAGGGGTGTGTGCCTATTCCCCTCCTTCCCATTCTGTCTTTTGTTGGAGACCTTCAAGGAAGGAGGCGTTTTAGGAGGTTATTTTGGAAAACAGTTTGTGGAAATCCAGTTGATAATTTCATTCAGGGAAAATTTTCCTACCAGTTGCAAGGAAGTACAGACTCTCGCTTAGAGGGGGGAAAAATACAGACAGATTTTTCTACTCTGTGAAGTTTCGTTCATTTGTTGAGATATGAACTCAATGAATGAATAAGAGAAAAATAGCCATCCGGGGCTGGTTATTTGTAGCTCAGTGGTGGAGCGCTTGCCTGGCATGTGTGAGGTTTTGGATTCGATCCTCAGCACCACATAGAAATAAACAGATAGATGGATAGATAGATAGATAGATAGATAGATAGATAGATAGATAAAAGGTATTGTGTCCATCTACAACTAAAAATTTTTAAAGAGAGAGAAAATAACCATCCTAATTTGTCTTTTTTCTCTTTCAAACATACAAGATGATAATACATAGAATTATGCACACATAACTGATTAAAACTATAAATTAATACATACGTAATTGATTTGCATATACAGATATATTTGATTAGAACTATATAAATGTCTTGCCCTGAATCATTCCCTTGTCTCCTCCAGAAATAAATACTTCCGTGCTTTGAGCTGGAAGAGGTTGGGTATTTCTTTTCTTTAATTAAAACAATAATTACCTGTCCTGGTGTTTGAGACCAAGTGAGCCTTACCGTATGGCGTTTTAATTCACGTGGCTTGGTGAAGTGGTAAATGAATGAACAGCTGGTGCCTCCTCCAAACAGCTGTGCTTCCTGAAGCCATGTATGAATGCCAAGGCCAGGTCGGTGCCAGGAGACTGCTTGGTGAACCACGGCGTACTTGAATTGAACTCGCAGTCAAAACCGAGTGGTTTGCATCCGTGAGCCGGCGAGACCTGGGCTTGCATCCCAGCCACAGGATGCCATAACTGGTACCTGGGGCAGACTATTTTTTTGGGGGTGAAGGGTCTTCATAAGCCTCTGCTTTCCCATCTGTAGAATGGGAATGATAATACTAGTGCCTACTTCCTGGGGTTGTTGTGAGGATCAAAAGAGAGAATGCATATCCAGTGTTTTGTAAAGTGCTTGGCACTCAATAAATATTAGGTAGGGTCTTTGTTGCTATCAGGGGCTTATTAAGTATCCACTTAAGAAGCAGAATCGGGACCTGGACCCAAACCCACCGGGAAAACCAAAGGATTCAGGTTTCAGTTGAGTCCAATATTAAATTACATGGCAGTAATTCCCAGGAAGGTCCCTCCATCCGACAGACCCGGAGCCAGACAGCGATTGGCTCTCACATTCATCCTATTTAACCCTCTCTTACCTGAAAAGAGGGGGTAGCCCCTTCTCCAGGGACCTC